CTCAGGGCGGCTTACAATGCGTTAAGCAATAGCCTTCATACTTTTCATACCTGGTTAGTAGGGCTTTCGCCCCCAAGCGGTGTTCTTTTTTATACAAAGTCAGTTTATTGCCCCCACAATCCAGGTCCTCATTTTACCTACCTCGAAAGGATGGAAGGCTGAGTCAACCTTGAGCCTGGTGAGATTTGAACTTGCAGTAATTGCAGGCAGCTGGTGCTACTTAACAGCACTTTAGTCTGCTGCGCCACCAAGGCTCTTGTAATACATTGTATTATATTTACATTCGACCTCAATCTACTTAAATTTTCTCCAACATAGATAGGCCTACAGATAGTTCCCAGAATTCCCCCCCCAACATGGCTATTGCTGGTCTGCATGATGCTAAACTAAATATTTGAGATGCCATAAATTCTGTATTCAATCTTCATTTTTATATTCAAACTCTGGCCTTGATCTCATATTTCTTAAGTAGAACTCCTGATTTTTATTCTCAAAGACATCAGGACTTTTTAGGATTCTGATTTTCCTACAGACAAGTGTTTCTGAACCTCTATGTGGACATTTAGGGGTCAGAATCTAGCTAGTTCAGGTGTTTTAGCTCTTCAAAGGGAGTTTGATCCAGTGCTCTAAAATCTTGCCCTCTATTTCTTACATCATTTAAATCACAAGCTAGTTTAGCCCTGAGTCATTCACCTATCAGCTGCTTTCTCTAAATGTGCTCTCAAGGTTCACACTAAAAAAGACAGCAGTAAAGGAAAAAAAACTTTAACAAGTTCTTATTTTTAGCAACATATTGAGAATAAAGTATTTTTAGTGCCTCTACACATTTTTATACAAATATAAGCTGATTGTCCTGGATAGAGAATTGCATGATAAGACAACGACAGGGATACAGTTCCTGAAGAAATCTAAATGAATAATTTCCAGCTTTCATGAGCACTCTTAGCCTCAAAATATATAGCAAAGCTACAACAGCACATCTTGTTACATGCTACAGAAAGGATTTGGGGGACATAGCTCTTCAAAACTACAGTAATTGTATTCTATTCATGCTCCATTTTTACTGCCAGCTGTAAACCAGCTCTACATGTATCAGGGTTTGCATCAAAATGATACAGACCAAGCCCATATCCAACAATATTGTAGTAATATAAATTTATAACTTTGACAGGTTTTTGCATATAGAAACAAGTGAAAGAAACATTAAACTATTTCTGTAAAATTAATTTTAAGCAATCAGCAGCACTTCCTCCAAAATTCCAAGGACTACAGAAGAGTTTGAAAAACTAAAGTAAAATTCCATTTTCTTTTGGGTAAACTGCTTTCAATAAAATGACTACTACAGAGAGACAGCCATATCTTCAAAGTAAATTATCTAGCTTTTCATCCAAATGTAATAATGGAGAGTACAATATTATTGATACTCTTCAAACTGAACGAGAAAGAGGAGCTGAAATTAGCAGCAAAAATAGTAAGAAATATCTTTCAATTTTTCTGCAGTTACTGGAAATAAGTTAATGAAAATGAAGCCTCCTATCTCTTGTTCCTTCCAATTGTAACGCAGTTATGGCCATGAATGACTTCTAAAACTGGATGGATCTGTCACAAAATGAAAGGACATCTGAGCTCCTTCCTTACATTGTAATTCAGACACTATTGTCCCATTAGAACAGGGGTCCTCAAACTACGGCCTGTGGGCCGTGTACGGCCCGCTGACACAATGTATCCAGCCCGTGCAGTGGTGGGATTCAGCCCCGCCCCCTGCCCTGTCTCCCGCCCCACCACTTCCACCCACTCCTCACATGGCTGGCTTTTCCTGGCTGACAGGGGCCCAGGGAAGAGGTGCCTCACCTGCTGCGGCTGCCAGAGGGCCTGGGGGACAGCCAGGGACTGCAAGGTCCCTGTCTGGCAGCAGGGACTCCGCAGCTGGCCCTCCAAGAAACAGGTAAGATGGCGGCAGCACTTGCATCAGCAGCAGGTAGAGGGACGGGGGCGGGTGAAGCACGTGATATGGATCACACCCCTGCTCCATCCCATGTGGCTGGGACAAAGCCAGGGGTGAAATGCTCCCAGTTCGCCCGATCCAGTAGCGATGACGGCGGGTGGTTTGGAGAACCAGTAGTAAAAACACCTCCCCCTCCCATGCCCAGCTGAGTCGCACAATCATCAGAGGCTTTTTTTTTCTCTTTTAAAAGCATTTTTTCTACAACCTCTTCGGCCAAAAAAATGCTTTTAAAAGTAAAAAAAAAAAGCCTCTGGCGATCCCAGCTGAGTTGCCTGATCATCAGAGGCTTCTAAAAGCATTTTTTTCTGTAGGGAAAAAAAATATCTTTAAAAGCCTCTGGTAATCCCAGCTGAGTTGCCTGATCGTCAGAGACTTCTAAAAGCATTTTTTTCTGCAACCTCTTAAGGTTGTGCAGGTCCATTAGGCTGCGGCCACCGCGAGTGAGGAAACCCGGGATTACGTTCCTCCTCCCCCCCATCTCTGCTGGGCCTGGGCATCCAGCAACAACTGCCGCCTTCTCTTCCCCCCCTCCCCCGCCACTTGGCTGCCGTCTTTCTCCTGCTCGGCTGCCTGAAGGAGGACAGCCATCTCCGCCACTGGACAGGGAGGCGGGAAGGCTGGCTGGCCAGATCAGCACTGCTGAGCCCCCGTCTTGGCGCTTCTCGCTACATCCACTCCAAGCGATCCCTGCCTGGTCCGATTCTGCCTGCCAAATGTGCAGAGCCCTTGCTCGAGCCTGTTGCACAGGTTGGACAGGTGCGAAGGACGCTCCGGCCAGCGAGATTCCAAAAGCAGATTGAGACTGCCGCAATGCAAATGGAATGGGATTCAGCAAAGTTTCTCTTCCTCACCCACATTTGCTCTTGTAGGAGCCATCTCTTTCCTGACAGAGAGATGGGAGGGAGAAATGGAATGGAATGGGATTCAGCAAGGTTTGTCTTCCCCACCCCCATTTGCTCTTCTAGGAGAGAGAGAGAGAGAGAGAGAGAGAGAGAGAGAGAGAGAGAGAGAGAGAAGGAGGGAGAGGGAGAGGGAGAGGGAGAGAGAGAGAGAGAGAGAGAGAGAGAGAGAGAGAGATGGATGAATGAATGTCGATTATAACCTCCTTGGGGTTGAGAAGAATTGCTGCAAAACTGAGTTTTCTGAAGTGGATCACTAGGTTCGTAAACAACTTTAAAAATAATCTAGTAAAAAGAAAAGTCAAACAAAAGCAAATAAAACACTCCCAGGAGGAAAACAAATTAAAGTTTCATTTGTGTCTATTATTTAATGGACTGCTAAATTGGCAAAATGGACTGCTAAATTGGCCCCGCCCACCAGCCACACCCACCCAGTCACATCACCACATAGCCACGCCCACCCAGTCACATGACTACCTAGCCACACCCACCCAGCCACATGGGGGCCCAGCCACACCCACCTAGCCAGTCCAGCCCCCCAACAGTCTGAGGGACCCTGAAGTGACCCCCCCCGTTCAAAAAGTTTGAGGACCCCTGCACTAAAACATAACAATGTTTCAGGATTTCATGAAGCTTAAACATACTTCAAAAACGCTTCAATTTTTTATGCATGCTAAAAGAAAAAAAAAAATCAGTCAAAAGTGACGCATTGACTGATAATATTGTCTCAAGGTGGTAAAATGCAAGTCTCTGATAAAATCAATGCACAAAACACAGCTCCACTTAAACCCAGAACTGCAAGCAGTTATCACCATAATACCTGAAAGACTAATTTTATTTAACAATGTTTTCCAATTCAAAATCTTTAGAGGTGAAACAAGAAGTGTTCATAAAGATTACAAATAATATAAAGCAGGTCCAATGCAAGATACAAAAAAAATGCGCTGATTTTTTTAAAATAATACTCATTTGCTTTTCTGTGGAAAAACTGGAAGATGCATATGCATTATTCACTTTTATTTTCAGTTATTTTATATATTAAATTTATATGGTGGCCATCTTACTGTTCCGACTGATTCTGGATGGCTTACAATAGTATAAAAGCATAAATATAAAAACACTAAAAGTACTAAAATTAAGATTAAAATCAACATTTACAGGTTAAAAACAAGAACATGGATGGTACACGGCTGGACTTTCGTCTCTCACTTTTATAGTAATCAATAGGAAAAGTTATGATATTTCTTTAGGCCCTCCAAATACAATAGGAAATATTCCTTCCCATCCCACCTCCCTATACCCTTGCCAAAATCCTTACCTCAAGCTTGGTAAATAAAACATGTTTAATGAGAACAGATTAGGGAAATCAGTTAAACAATGTACATTGTATATGAAGAATCATTATTTTTAGGTGTAGAATATTGGAAACTTGCAGTAGAGAAAAGCAGATCAAATTATGTAGTTTCTAACAGATTGTTTTCAAAAAGGCATGCACTGCCCATTTGAGTGTGAGGTTTGAGAGAAACAGTAGTACAATCTTAGTTTATCCTGCAAGTGTGAACATCTGGAACTTATTTTTAAAGCAATACAAAAATATTTAGGCTTGTAATTTAACATCTAAGTGCAACTAATGAAAACAAGGGAATACTTAGGGGTGTTATTATTCTAGCTTTTCTGCAGAATCCAGCAAATAAGGATGCATGGTCACACCACGTATTATATCATTTGCAAATTTTGTACCACTGAAAATTAGACAGAAAACGGAAAGAGCTTCAAATATATTTTCAGAAATTCACAGCATGTAAGGCACAAAAGCGGAAAGCCTTCAGGTTGCCCTGGGTATTCCTTACACAACTGGAAATTACAAAGTGGATCATCAATTAGCAAGAGAAAACACAAGGGGGCGCTGTAAGAAATAAAAGACAACACTTTCTCTGGAATCATGTTGGTCTCTCAAACACCGTATCCATTTATAAAACGGGAATGAATTCCATCCTTCAGAAGATATATGAGGTAACACAGAACAGAATGCAAAAGTTTTTCTATCCTACCACTTCCTTTATGAAAAGAGAAACAAGTTGTAGCCAAATAATTACCTGAGGGTGGATCTGGGGCTTGTCGCACGTGGCCTCAAAATCCAACACTAGGAAGTAATGATACCTCTGTGGGGGAAAGGATGACATTGCTGCCATGGAAGCAAAGCCGTGAGAAGCCAGTTTCCCGGTTTTAGTGGAGCTGTACCTCTGGAAAACTAACAGAAAGGAGAGCAGAGGAGTCCTCAATCTTGGGAACAATCTGAGGTGAAGCCTTGCTGCTGTTGAACCGAGACGTGTGATCATTGAACACCTAGCAGCATCTGGAACTTCAAAAGAAAAAGAAACAGGAATCACTCTACACATACAGACTTCTTCATTTTAATGTCATTGAGGAAATACAACTTCCATTTATTTAGTTGAACAGAAGCGGGAAATTAGTTTCTATTAATCACATCACTTATTTAAAGCACTTCTACCATATTTTGCATAAAATAGGATCCAAAGCAGCTACATGTAGTCTTCATTTAATGACCAGTCACTTAGCAGCCATTTAAAGTTACAGTAGACTCCCCAACTTTGACCTGGTCTCAAAGTTACAGCTGCTGCAGCGGCCCACAGTTGTTCACACTTACAACCAATCACAGGGACACCGCCAACCCTCTCTGCATATCTCCCCCACCATCTTACTCTACCGGATCCCTGCAGGCCTTGAGCCTGCTTCCCAGTCCACCAGACTCCATACCCTTCTCCTCATTTATCTTTTGATGATCTCCAGAGCTTGGATTAGGGAAGTAGAATGGATCATATCATCATGTGCCTGTATGACATGATTTCAGAAGTGACCACCATTTACCAGTTACCTTGAATTGGTCCCTTGGAAAATGGCAGCCATTTCCACAACTGCACCACACAACCGTGTGACAAAGCAATCCATTCTACTTATTTAACATACTCAGTTCAGCAGTCTAGAGCTTTGGAGATCTTCAAAAGGTAAGTAAATGATACGTGATCGGTGGGGAAGAGATCTAAGAGTTGTGGGGATGGGGATGGGGATGGGGGCTGAGGCCTGCAGGGATCCAGGCGGGGTGGAGAAGCAGACTCAAGGGCTATGGGGACAGTTAGGAAACAGAGCATGGGGTGTCTCAGGATTGGGGAGGCCTTGAGACGTAAGGGTCTAATGGGTCTGAGCCTGCACTAAGCCTCCCAGGGCCTCCCCCAACCTGAGGCACCAAATGCTCTGCTTAACGACATGCACGACATGTTTTAACAACTGCAACAGGAAGTTCAGGCGGTAGGGATCATTAAGAAAAGCCATGTTGTTTATTGGCCATCACCATTTGCAAGCATAATGGGGAGATTCCAATATGGTCATACATTGAGGATATCTGTGCACTAATCAAATTACTAAGAGACATGACAGCCAGTTTAGTGTACTGGTTAAGGTACCAGACTAGAAGCTAGAAATGTTCTAGTCCATCCTTAGGCATGAGGCAAGTTGGGTAACCTTACACTACTCCCTCAACCTCTCATCCTGGTCATAATTTCTTTACTCTCCTATCATCGGGAAGGAGAGATAGAAGTATAGCCAGCCGCACAAACAGGCTGAAGAACAGTTTTTATCTGTGGGCTGTCAGACTCCTGAATGAGAAATAACATCATAACCATGTAGTATGATGGACTGCAGGGCCCAATGATTTATTGGGTTAGGGATTTTCTGTCTTCACTGTGTTGGGGGGGGGTGCAATGAGGGAGCTCAACCAATCTCATTGTACATATGTTGTGCACTAACAATAAGGATTTGAAATTAACCTAGGAAGGAGACAATAGTGAACCACTTCCAAAAATTTGCCAGGAAAACTGCAGAACTGCTCCAGGCGGTTGCCAGGAGTCAACACTAAGTGAAGGGCACTCCTGAGAGGGAAAGGAAGGAGAGAGAGAAAGAGAGAGAAAATGGAAACAAAATGATTGTGGATTGTATGTCGCTCCCAAATGCATGCTGGAAAGACTCTCCTTTAAAGCCAGTGTTAATCTCCACCCCAACAATAATATAGTGGGTATCAGGAGGACATCCATTGAGATCAGTAACTATCAGTAAACCTGGCTACTAAATACTATGGTAATACAACGGTTGATAACGTTCAGAAATAATAATAAGGACCAATATGTTATAACGGAGGGAGCATTGTACATAAACCAGGGAAATGCAGGTTTAAAACCCCATTCGGATATGAAATCACTTTCTCCATCTAAACTTCCCAGGAGGATACAACATAGAATGGCTCAAGAATGCTACACTGAACTCTTTAGGGAGACAATCCAATTGGAGAGAAAAAAAAACCTGATCACTGCTCATGTCATTTTGAACCACATTTCAAAATAGTAGTTCCAATATAAATGCGATTTATAAAATCCTTAAATCATACAAATCAGTCTAGTAAATAGTAGCACACATGTACTGCCTCCACAGCAATAATTTATAAAATAGGAACTCAGAACCAGAACATTTACCTTATGGCTTTATGTGCCTAGCACTGCTCAAGCCATCCATAACAAATTGCATGAGAAAGCTTAAGACAATGATTTTTCAGTTTTAGATACTATTGGAGCCCTCCCCCCAAGTTTTGGGACAAATCATATCCTCTTCAACTGGCTAGGAGATTATGGAAATTATAATACCATATTTCCCCAAAAATAAGACCCTGTCTTATATTTTTTTGAACCCTGAAATAAGTGCTTGGCCTTACTGCCATGCGCTCAAAAGCCCGATTGGGCTTATTATCAGGGGATGTATTATTTTGGGGAAAACAGGGTACAAAAAACTGGAATCAGGGTTTGAAAAAGTTGCATTAGTAACTGTATGGCTGAACTGGTAGTAATTGTAAAAGATATGTTTAAATCAAGTGTACATATTATATACATGCTTTCAGGTGACAGATATATAATGCTCTGCATATAACGATATTCGCAGAGAATTATTAAGTTCAAATCTTTCAGACCATCAAGTCCAACCACTTGTCCTATGCCAGAAACCAAATTAAAAGGCTTCTGCTTGAATACATCCAGTGACGGATGTACACCTTTTGCATAATTGGTTCTGCTATAAAATTGCTCCTATTGAAATCATTACTAGAATTTAACTTGATACAGCCTTTCTATAATTTAAATCTATTACATCATGTCCTGTATTCTGAGGTAACAGAAAACAAGGCCTGACCTCCTTTGTGATACCCTTTAAGGCCATGATGGTGAACCTATGGCACGCATGCCAGAAGTGGAACACAGAGCCATCTCTCCGGGCACGCCAGTCGTCACCCATTGCTCTTCCAGGTTCCGGCGCACATGCTGGTCTACGCGCACACAATGGCTATCCTAAATCTCTTCCTCTATCTCCAATGTAGCTCCAGGCTGTGTTGTCTCATTTTGCCCCCCACCCCACCTTGGAATGTGCTTCCTCCTTCCTGGGACACCATCTCCCACTTTGTATACACATTTCATCATATTGATAAGAGTCCTGAAGAGTAACAGCATTTTCCACATTTTCCACCCGACCCCTGGCCCCAAGAATGAAGAGATCTGGACAAATGTATTTGAAATTGTAGCCTTTTATTTAAAAATTTGTTGAAGTACACTTCTTTTGAAGTAGTACTATATAAGAACCTTATTCCTTTCTCCTACCCACTCAAAATTAGATTAATTTTAAGAATGAAAAAAAATCATTCACATGATAGAAACTTCTGGTTTGCTTTGATTACTGTATATTGAACCAAGATTTATTTTGGTTTGGATATAACCCTGGATTTACACAACATGCTCAGCTAAATCTAAAACCACATTTCAGAACAGTTTAGGCCATATGAAAATCTAGCAACAGCGTACATGTGATTCTGCTGATCTGCTGAAAAATACTTATTAAAATTTATAGCATAATTTATTTTAACAATATCAAAATAGTACCAAAATTTACTGGGCGGGAGAAGGACTGTTACTGAAATCCTATTAAAATGGTACCTCTCCATCTGGCACTGTAAAATTGTTCTGGTTTTGAAGGTTCTCTTTCCTTCGTGTAACTTGCCTTTTAAATGTTTTAGTATAAGGAACCTGTATCTTTTTTAAAAAGTCTAACATTTGGTTAAGTGGACACATTCTAGAAATAATGCCACTTGCACCTGTTAAGTAGTGACAAGATATGGTATAGAAAGCATATTTTTAGATTTTAAAATATTTTTAAAAGCAGCATCACCAAGCTTTCCATAGAAACTACTGAAGATATTGTAAAACTCTTCAGTCATTCAAGAAAGTAATCTGTTGAAATAACATTACCTAGAAAATACATTATATCCTATAATAATCTAGGCAGAGTTTTCTATTTCTCTATTCCTGTAGCACATGACCATGGCATACCAACAGAAGTTTGAACATGCTCCTGCTAAACTTCTACTTTAGCAGGAAAAACTGATTTAGTGCATTAATATCCCTTAGATTAAGGTTGAACACTGGCACAGAAATTAGATTACAAGATTCAGCCGTGATAAACTCTGGTTCAAATAAGACGTGATATTAGCTAATTTGCTTATAGTTTACTAAGAATGACTGTCATACAGTTTGAATCTGTTTAAAAAATGAGATGGGGGAAAAAATGGAAAAATATGCATTTGTGAGAGAAAAAAAGAAAGATCAGAACAAGGGCTTGGAGAAGAAGATACCATACTTCGTATCATTAATAGTGTTGTGGTCTGCCAGCAGCCTGCAGATCTGGCAGCGGAGTCGGACAGCGATGAGGCTGAAGAAGAACATGGGCCAGTCCTGGAGGCTGGGGAAGGCCCGGATGAGGGCTCTGCGTCAGAGGCAGAGATGGGGCCAGGGCCATCGGGGAGTGAGGTGCGGACTCCAGAACCTCCAGAGACTGATAGGAGTGAGGCAGAGGAACAGGAGGAGCCTGTTTCTAATACACGCATGTGAAGGGCTGCCAGAAGGCAAGAGCAGCTCAAGCAAAGAGGACAACTCGGGAGTAGGGCCAAGAGATGATTGGTCTCTCCCATAAGGCTTAAAACAGACCAGCAACGGCATTCGGGCTTTGCCAGAAAACGTTTATTTATTTATTTATTTATTTATTTATTCAACTTGTATGCCACCTTTCTCCGAAGACTCAAGGCAGCTTACAAAGCATTTAAAAACCATATATAAAAACATTAAAAATTAAAACATTAAAAACAATTAAAACCGATTCACACCATTCATGGCCGGATCTTGCCAAATCGCAACAGCCCCAGGCCTGCCAGAAAAGCCAGGTGTTCACTGCTTTTCGGAAGGCCAATAGGGTGGGGAT